ATATATATATATATATATATTTCCAATTCGATTGATGCTATTATGAGTGTACTCCGTTTTCATATGCTGTAAGCATCAGTTCATCCTTGTTATCTATCAATATTAAATAAGGACAAATAATGCTTACAAGTGCTGTAAAAAATTTTTAACTCATCACACTATATGCTGAATGTTTCTTTTATCACTCAGCATTAAAGTGTATTAAAATTGTTGAAATTTTGTTTTTAAATTATATACAGGGTGCGTCACCAAAATCCGGACAAATTTCAATTTAAATTTTCCGTTATATTGTGCCTCCGCCAAAAGCGTGTTGTTGACGTTCGAGAAAGTCTGATGCTTCTAGTAAACAATCATATTCTCAAAATGGCCGCGAAATGGTTGTTGAAACCAAGTGCGGAATAAAATCGAAGAGCCGCGATCTTCGAAGGCCTTCGCGCTGAGCGCTCAGCAAATATTTCGGAAATATTTCGGTTCTTTAGATTAGATCCGACATCAACTGTTTATGACGTTGTGTCAAAATAGGTTTTAGAACAATCCAACGAAGATTCCAGTATGCCAGCGAGGAAGAGTCACTCGAAAGAACGCACCGCGAGGATCTCCGCAGTTAATTAAAAGTCATTAAAAGAACTCAAGCATTGATTTCGGACCCAGGGCAATCGTTGCGAAAATTAGTATCGATTGTTGGTGTAAGCGAGCCAACGATGCGTTAAATTGCCAAGGAGAACCTTTGATACAAATCATACATTAAAGATACGACAGATGCTCTCTGAAGCTGCCAGGACAAGCCGAGTTGTTCGCCTCGGCTCTCATTCTAGCCTCCCAACAGCCCAGTTTAATTTACATTTAAATTTCTTGAACTACTAACTATGAAGCATAGTTGAAAGGGTCACAAACAAGTCTCGACATCCCAATGTGACGTCATTAAGGACCACTATTGAGGCTGTTTATCGGCATGGATACGCTATATTACAGCATGCGTGCAATCGAGAATAGAGGCCATCATTCAATGAAGGATATATCGAATAATTGTGCTGTACAAGGATTCCCCCCCCAAGTCTTGTAAAAGGATTTTTTGTAATATTTAATTTTTCATTAAAAACATTTTGTTTAAAAAAAGTGTTCGATTTGTCCGGATTTTGATGACGCACCCTATGTATTGATTGAATCCGAATAGTATTAACGGAATCAGTAGTTAAAAATGAAAATATTTATCTTCTTCTTGTACTTTAGAAGGAAATAGTAATATCATACTAGATTCGCGAAGTTAATACGCCATATTTTCAATTTTTGTTTTTTATAGTTATAGTATAAAATATGCGTAATTCTTTTTTATTTTTATAAGAAATTATATATGAGAACTATAACAAGTGCTACTTATAAAACTGTCATTATTTTTTAAATATTAATATATTATGGAATGTCGTAAGCTGACTTCATTGATCCCCCCCCCATTTTTAGGTATCCATGTTAGTACGACATTCTATCAATATACCTATGATGATAATGAAAGTAATAATGACAGTTTCACTAGCATATACATAATTCTACAGTTCCTTATACAAAAATAAAAAAGAGTTTTATACTAAATGTTTTATACTAAAAAACCAAAATTGAAAAAATTGCATCCGAAACTCTGTTTAAAAATAAATTAAAATTATATAAGAGTATAAATCTCTACTAATACCTCCTAACGAGAAATATTGCTGAAATTATTATCACTTTTTCTTTAAGTATCGTCTATTATCTTTTATATAGAGTGTACAAAATAAACCATTCAATATTTATTATATGATATCTATGTATATATACACGCATCATAATAGTAAAAAAACCTTAGTGAATATAAATAAAAGCTAATAAATAAAACCGTTTGAGACATAAATAATTAAGAATCGATTTTTCCTCGTTGTTAGAAGAAGGGTCACAAGGACGATTATTATTTATCTATATTATAACTCAATTTTTCGATTTTCGATATTATTTATTATTTTGGTAATTAAATCATCAAATTAAAATTCTCTCAAAATTTTATTTGTGAAAGAAGCTCTAATTAATTTATGTTTGCTATAAATTCGTAAAAGAAAGAAACATCTTTCGTTTGATGTAAAATAACACGTATATATGTATATTTATCACTAACTTATTATTAAAGATATTTATTATTTAACTTTGAAAGACGAATATTATGAAACAGTTATCTCAAAAGAATTGAAGTTAATAAAAAAAAAACTTATTTTGGCGTGCCATGACATGACATGTTTTAATTATTTATTATATCACGCATTACTTGGAAATGCTTATAGTATATATTTATTTAATGGAAATAATCAAGAATCATGGCTATGCAGACGTGATACGTTTCTTCCGAAGAATCTAGTTAAAGTATTAGTGTACATTACGCGCAACGAGAATTGCCATTTTGTCGGCGAGGCACGAGGCGTAGCGACACGCCTCTCGCCTGCAAACTTCGAGCGAGGAAAGCGCTTCGATCCGATTGGTTTATCTTCTCCCTCCCCATCTTCTTCACCTGTAAAGTTGGCACGGTCCCCGATCGAGAAAGATTGGGTTAGATCTTGCTAACTAGGAAAAGATCGATCCCAAACTCTCTCTCGATGAACAGTACAATTTTGCTAATGGTACTCAGAAACGTGCGCGGTCAGCACATTTGAGATTTACAGTCGCGCTTACGTGGTTAAGCGAGACAAAGATAAAAATGTCAGATATATCTACAATTTTAGATATTGGAACCACGCAATAATAATTTATTCATGAGCAACAAAGTTTTTCTTTGCACGTAGCTGTACTATCGGAAATTAATCTTTGTTCAACTCGAATCTTTGCGAATTGATCTATAGTTATAATTGTTTACATAATTTCAAACGACAATGCCGCATTTTTATTCTGACGTATTATACATATACATATATTGGCTGCATTCAATAAAAAAACAGCTTTGCAATTGTAATTGTTGTCAGATTCTTTAATATTATTGATAATTTATATTCTTAGGTCCAGTGAAAGAGGAACTATAAGAACCAGATTAATTTATCAAAGAATTTTTTAACAGAGTTGCAATGCTGCTTTTTTATTGAACGCAGCTACTTATTTACGCAATGATACGTAACGATATAAAAATTATATCGTTGTTTAAGAAGTTAATAAATAAGAGATTTATTGATTTACTTTCTCTTTCAGTAAAACTGAATCATTAAGAAATAAAACAAATATGATTTATTTATATCTGGAAAATATTTCTTAACTTTAATATTTCACTATTTTTCTTCGCATTTAGATATCTCATACATTCGTTTGAGAACATTAAGTTAAAGATATATTTACTCCAGAATTCCCAAAGAAAGACAGATCTGTCGGCCAGATTATCAAACATTTCGCTGTTCGAGAGGATTAGACTCGATAAAATTACACTGATTTTAATCCTTGGAACGAAACGGCGCGCCGCGCCGAGGTCGCGAATCGATCCACGCGAAAGACAGAGCTCTCTCTCTCCTCGTTCGGCTCGTTCTTTTCTGCTGGCTGGCTAATGTACCCGGTGGCGTTCGGGAGTCCTGCAGGGGTGCAGGGCGTCCAGGGTAGGCAGACGACTGGTGCGGTGGTGTTCGGGTACGGGGGTGATGGGACACACCGCTACCCAGCAGTGGGCGAGGGCAGCCACGGGCAGTACTCGATTGGATTGGTTGAGACTCGACTGTTCCTGTTTGTTCGAGGGAGGTGACTTTAAATGGTATTCGCGCAAGAGCTCCGCCTCTCGGAATCCGTTCAGAACGGATGGAGGACGCTCTTTTCGCGTCCACGCCGTCAGCCGTCCATCCGGAACGAGTCGAGGTGGGAGAGCTATCGTATCATTGGACGGAGGTGGTTGCTGGTAGCGCAAGCGAGACCGGTCGAGAAGGTGAGACACAGTGGGCTCCAATCCGGGACATGGTGGAGCCATGGGTTCGTAGGTAGGGGAAGTCCGTTGCGGGGGTGTGGGTATGGATCGGCCGCAGTATCCGCGGAGACGCGATCGTGGGTATTCGGTGTGTTTGGGCGTGCGCTCGGCGCGAAGCGAATACGGATTCGAATAACCGATTACCGAGTATAACGAGGGCTTGGTCTGGATCAGCGAGCCTCGCCTAGGCATCGCCGGCGCCTGATAACGGCAGTGTTGGTTGGAAATCTTCGAGATTGTGATACACCGTGACACAGCGTGGGATACATCAGGGCCGAACCTCGCTCGCCTCGGCCGGCCGCGGGTCTCCGTGGTTGGGTCCGATGGAAATTTCCGTCTTCGCTCGTGACCAAGAGCAGTCTACCCTGTGCTCTTGTCGATTCGCGAGAATACGGAGGATGCTGATCGGCGAACCTCGTGCAAAGTGTCGAGTGTTCACACGTAAGAACGTTTGTTCAAGAAGGAAAGAGTGAAACAGAGACTTCACTGGCCTATCGTTGATCTCGTCGTTCGTTGATGATGCCGCGACCTTCGCGCGATACCTACGGTGATCAGAAACCACCCTACTCCTACATATCGCTAACGGCGATGGCGATATGGTCGTCGAGGGACAAGATGCTGCCACTCGCCGAGATTTACAAGTTCATCGCCGACCGCTTCCCGTACTACAGGAAGGACACGCGACGATGGCAAAATTCTTTGAGGCACAACTTGTCTTTCAATGATTGCTTCATCAAGGTTAGTTCAACTCATGTCCGATCTTTGAGATTTCGATCGATGTCTGCTCGGAGATGAAACTTGTCAAGTCTTGATCGACTGATACAATATGCTACCGCAAGTTGCTGTAAACAATTATGTATTCATCCTTCTTTCTAAAATCTTATTTTGAATAAAATTTACTAATTTGCATAAAAGATAACTTCTCTCTAGACGGATATATCAGCGAAGCTGATGTCTCATTGTCTCATATTGTCTTATTTTTATCATATTGCCTATAGCTTTAATGAATCACTTGCAAAGTAATATCGCGAAATCATGGTTGTCGAATGAAGCGTGATGGAATGGATCTTTGATTGACGTGATGTGCGCCTTTTCAATGTAAACGTCCGGAACTCGAGAAGCGACAACGCCACGCGCAAGGTGTTTGGTTGTTATATTATCGAGCCATCTGTTTCGCACCTGCCAACGTGTGCGACCACCGCGCGATCACCGTCATGGCGCGTTCCATTCTCTCACGATTCCTCAAAATTACAAAAGAATGTCGATACCCTTTCTTGTTCCTTAGTCATCACAGTAGAATCACTTTCAACTTTACACCCTGCCTGTGTTACAGGGTGAAACAAACTTGACCACAATCGCGATGATAGATATGAAAATATTTTATACTCGGTCACGCATCAGGGAATATTTTGATGTAAAAATTTACATAAAATGTGCAGTTCGAAATCTTTAAAGAGTTTCAAGTTTAAGTCCGTATTATTTTTCCAAACTTTCTCTGATGTCAGATTATACATATAGAGATCCCATGTTCAGATTATATAGAGATTGAGATTGAGAATTTGATCAATCAAAATAAAGTTCATCAAAGTTAATATTGGATTGTTTCTTTTTTCTGATTGATTAAATTTAATCTCAATCCCAATCTCTAATCTGATACGGATATTACACTTATAATTTTACGATTATAGAGAAAAATGTTTAAATACCAAGAATGATGTAAGATAACTAATCATACAATAATCAATAATATTTCAAACATTTATATACACTACTTGTGTACATAAATGTTTACTTGTGTATGTTCTTGTTAACATAGTATACAATAATACGTATGTAATAATAATAGTACACAATAATACGTTAACTTTGACTCATATATGTATTTCTTGCGTCAATGATTCAAGTATGTTTTCACTATAATATTATGATGTATAATGAACTAATGTAACATAAATTACATTATAATGAACTAATGTAACATAAATTACTACAATCAATCTTGATTCTTTTATTGTATAATACAATTAATTGTTAATTTTGCAATGCTTGATGCAATTTGAAAAAATTAGACTTAAAATCTAAACTCTTTAGACTATTGTACTCACAATCAGTTGTAGACATAATTTTTAACTTTTAATTTTGTAATTATTATATAGTTATTTCATAATAAAAACTTTAGAATTCATAAAAATGTACTATTATATATGAAACATGTGGAAAAAATATAAATATTATACATATAGGGTGTCTCGAAAATTTTTGCCAATCGCTTTCGTGTAGATAGAGCGGACTAAACTGAGTCGAAAAGTCCTCTAACATTTTGCAATTTTCGCAATAGTTAATAAGATATTAATTACTAAAAATTGTCAAATGCCAAAATTGCAAGAAACAAAAATCATTTATTTTTCTCATAGAACACTAAGAATTTTTTCAGAATTTTTTATCAGTTTTTTAGTATTGCATTTTCTTATTTTTACTAACATGAGACAATACGATATTAAAAAATTCTAAATAAATTCTGAAAAACTTTACTCAGAGAGACTTTATGAGAAAAAATAAATGATTTTTGTCTCTTGCAGCTTTTCTATAAAGTTGATAGTATTTAAGTAAAAAATTATTCAAGACCAATATTTGGCAATTTTTAGTAATTAATATCTTGTTAACTATTGTGAAAATTGCAAAATGACAGAATTTTTCGACTCGATGAGTTTAGTCCGCTCTATCTATACAAAAGCGATTGGCAAAAACTTATAACTCGGGACATATATTTAATTATTAGATATATCATGTATATCTTTCTCATAAAATTTAAACAGTTCCAAACAGTTCCTCTGAAATTTATTTATCACTGCTTTCTGTTCTGTATGTATAAAAGTTATCACCTTTTTCAAATACTCGAAAAACTCACACACACAAGCGTCAATTTTAAAATAAAAAAGGGGAAGTTCAGTACAATATTTGGATCTATTCATTGGCAAATTTTATCCTATATGAGCCCTTGTTTTATAACGAATAATAATTACCGTTGCTAGAAAGCGTGAAACTATGAACGGAAACGATGGAAAGCAATAATGTCTCTGCGAGAAATTTTCGAGAAATTTTACGCTGGAAGAAGCAATTGATCATGAATTAATTAAAATCGATATTATTGATATATTAAATAGATTATAATAACTGACATAGAAAATTCACTTGCTTGTTTTTTTACAGATTCTTTAATCAATTTTTATAACCTATTTTTATATTTTTATAAATTTATTTTTACAAAAATAATCGTTTGGATTTATACGAATATTCTCTTGTATAATGTGATAATGAAATTATATTTTTTTACGTCATATTATATTAATGAATTTTATTCAGAATATATACTTTATTCAGGACATATAGACTTTACCAGGATTAGAATAAAATTTACCAGGATTAGAATATAAATATGGATATTAAAAGTTGTAAAAAGATATCCATTTAAGTTCAGTTTTCTCGATATGAAAAAAACATTTGTTAATAATTAATCAAATAATTTATAGATGAAAGAAAGAATTTTCGTTTTAATAGCAGATAAAATTTAAACTTAAAATGAAGAAATTGTATAAATTTTAAATCTCTGTTCTATCTGCATTCCTTAATTTTTAAACAGCAGTTTTAATGTTCTTTTTAAAATAAGCTGTATCTCAGTAAAGATCTAGTAAGTATTGTATTTTACAGGATACACACACGTTATCACGATGACATTATATTATATCGAGTAATAATTTTTTTAAATATTACATTTATTTTTTTTCTCTTTATAAAGTCTAGAGATTCTAGATAATCTAGAAATAATAATAAGTATTCGTATCTCTGTACTCTGGATAGAAAAATTTCAATAATTTAAAAGATTTAACAATTTAAATGATTTAAGTATCCAATATATGATAGCGTTTTTTCGATATCATATAACAGAAAGCGCAAAAGTCACTTTTGATAAATGAAAGAAGAAATTCTTTGTTATACACGGTTATATGAATTTTTCAAATTTGCTCGAGGATTCGAACGTAATTCTTTCTCTCCCCCGCAAATATAATTTGAAATTCCAGATTGCCAGTAACGATGGAAAGAAACGACGACAAAAGACGTGAATTAACGTATGCAGCTCGACTGATCTCGTCTATCTCTCGTCGAGGCGTGGTACTAATAATAGCGATGGTAATATATTTCCCTCCGCGAGATCTGTCCGGCAGCGAGTTATGCCTTTCCGATCGAATTAACTTAACCGATCGGCAGATAATCGTTTCGCGTTATTAAATGTAAAACCTGTTCGTTCCTGGCAAGTAATGGCTCTCCTGACTCTCTACAGCTCATCAATTGCTGTTAAGACCGCGTCTTATATCGGCCATCGTCGAGGAGACGCTAGGCAAGGTGGATGGTGCTTTCCACGCGATCCGCCAAGAGGGGAAAAATAGGGGCTACTCATTTCAGTGTGCAATGCGAGCGGTTGTGCTTTACGAGAATCGCGCGCGTAATTGCCTCGGACATCATTGCCAGCATCTTCTGTTTCGATCGCTCATCAAGATATCAATTAAGGCGCAACTCCACAAATGCGTATTCATCAAAGCGTGGATTCTGAAGTAGCGCAGAAATCTAGTTTCAGACCGATTATTCCGAGTTTTCCAATCGACGCGACTGAACTTTCCGTTCCTATACAACTTTCGCCAATTCTATAAGGATATAAGGAAATATTCCATGTCTTCCGCATTGTGTCCGATATTCATTTGTCATGATCGTTAAGAATAAAGTTTTTTTTGTTTATTTGTTCAATGTTTAATTTAATATTACATTATATTATAGGTTTAGCTTTCGTTTTTTATATTAGGCTTATATTTCATTTTTCATTTCATGAAAAACTGCAACTGTCCGACTTGTGACTACAATTCGATTAGGCACAATTTTAAGTTACGATGCACGAGAGGGAGAGTGTATGTGTCTACAGATGCAATATGTTCTATGTATAAAATCTTTATTAAAAAGAAAATATTTGTGAAACTTGATAGGCTAGATAAAGATAAATCCAATGCAGCGTCAATTTCGTTCATTTCTCGTTGGAAATAAAAAACGGAAAGTTTGTCAAAGCTAAACTGAAACTTAAAATTGACATTGAATCGATGCGATATCTATGTAACCTGTTATCTGTCATCTAATTGAAAACGTATTGTGTATCATCATTCAATAGAAACGAGTTGCAATTTGAAATTGTCTTGCCAACTTTTCTTGAATTTCTTGCAAAGTTTTTAATATAACATTTCTGCTTGAAAAATTAACAATATATTAATTCATTCAATGAAATCAATTTCTCTCTCTCTCTCTCTCTCTCTCTTTCTCTCTCGCTCTCTTTCTTTTTTGCAAAAGTGTCTTTGGCATGGTTTAAAATTACAACTTTGAAAAATCGCGATATCGATGACTGTTATTAACTATTTGTTTCAAAATATCTTTGACATTGCATAAAAATAGGAAGATTATTGTGCAGTAGTTATTTCTAGAAAATAGAATTGCTGAAGATGAGAATTAGGGACGCACAATCAAGAAACAGAGAATAGAATCAGGAACAAAGAATAAGAATTTCAACCAATCAGAAACGATACACTATGGAATACACATTTCTATTCGGTTAAAATTCTTCTTCTCTGTTCCTGTTCCTATTTTCTATTCCAATTCCTTTAATTGTGTACAGCTCCTTATACTTAAATTACTGATCAATATATATATATATATATA